GTTATCAACTAGTGACACGCGCCTGCTCATTAGAGTTTATAAAACTTATATCAGGCCGTTGCTAGAATATGGTACTGTAGTCTTCAACCCCACAAAAACCAGTTCAATTCGAGTGCTTGAGAAGGTACAGAATAATTTTACTAGGAAATTGCTCATGCGGACTAAAGGCTTTCGGTATGAACAATTACCCAAAGGGACGCTCAGAAACAAGGAGCGGGCTATACAGTTTAGCCACGAGAAGGAGGATGTTTGATCTTATCACAGCTCACAAGATTATATTCAAAGATTATCATCTCGATCCATTCTCCTTCTTTGAAACCAGTGGCCGTATTCATCATTGTTACCTTGAGGTAAATTCTACCTCCAGGTAGTTTTATCTCTCATTATCAGCAAGTACCCGTATTTCACAAAGTACCTTGAGGTAAATTCTCAATGTAATTTTGCTGATAATGAGTGATAAAACTACCTGGAGGTAGAATTTACCTCAAGGTATCAATGATGAGTACGGCCACAGGAGTTCTAAAACTAGGGGAGGTTCAAGAAAGATAGTTATACCTAGAGCAAGGAGAAATGTGAGGAGGAGATTCTTGTTAACAGAATTAGTAGTGATCTGGATAGATTGATGAGAAGAGGAATGCTTCCTGTAAAGCTTTCACAGTTTAAGATGCTTCTCTGTTGATGTTCAAATTCTCTTTTCAATTCTCTGTTGATGTTCAATGCTTAGGATATCCTATGTAATAAATGAAATGAAAAGTCTTGCGACACTGTCAGCGTGAAAATAGAGATTACGAACTTTAATAATGATATATAGAATGTTGTAATTGGGCTCGGAACAACGAAGAAAAGGGTACCAGAGCCAAATGCCCCGGGCCCCGCATTTGAGGTAGCGAGGTAGCGCGCAACGCGCGGAGACGCAGACGAGCAGCGGAGACAGACCAGAGCCGGCGGGGCATTTGGCTCTGATTGATCTCCGCAAGGTCATAACGAAAACCCATAACCTTATATATCGTTGTGATCCTCATGAGACGGACAGGAGCACTGACAACGTCGCGGGTCTTGGAAATCACTCCAAAACGAGATAGACCAGCAATTATGTTGCGACTTTCTGCGCAAGATTTGAGCGCAATTTCTCGTTTTTATTGAACTCCAGCGGCGTTCATGAACTTCCAACCCTCAATCGCAGTCTCGAGAAAGGTTAATTGAAAAATTTTGCTTTAGTCTCTAATTGAATTTTTGACCTTCTTTTCAGCAAGAAAGGCCGTAAAAACGCAATCTTCGGCTTTTGAGCTTCTTTTGGATGTCACTACTATATTTGCGTCATTCACATTCATCCCTATATGGTTATGTCATTAGTTATGTCATTAATATCGGCTTCGCCCAGAAGATTTCTGCACTTCTCTCCAGGTGAAGGTTGTGTTCTATCATGACGCTCAAAGTGAAGGTTACCAGAGTACTATACTTGGGTCCGAATCGAATAGAAATTCGATCATTCGAATAAAACATTCGAATATATTCGTATTCGAAATTCGATATTCGGTGTTCTTCCGTTTTCGAATAATATTCGAAACTCGAATAATTGAGAAAACGGGGTTTCGAATAAAATTCGAAACTCGAATAATCCAAAAACAGGGTTTCGAAAAACTCGAATAATCAAAAAACGAGGATTCGAATATTATTCGAAAACTCGAATAATCAAAAAACGGGGTTTCGAATAGATTTTATTCGAATGTTTTATTCAAATGTTTATTCGAATTCGTATTCGAATGAACTCCGCATTCAGTTCGACTTTGTTGCAGAGCCAACTGCTGAGTATCAAGCTCACTTCGTCCGCGTTTTTTTCGCAAAACTTTGTAATGCATCTTTTGCAACCGTTATGAACTTTGAACTGTATGGAGAGTCGCATTCTTCGGACTGCTTGCGACAGTAAAAAAATCATATCTGGATTTTAATTGATGCTTTTTCGACCAATGAGATTGTTCGCACTGCTATTGGCACCAAATCAGTAAAGAAGCTATCAAATTCAAGCTCATGTTACGAGTCCATATATTGAAAGTGTCTGAAATGCCTGTTTTTCTTTCTTTGCATTGCTCATGGTTGTGGTACGCAAACGGACACGAGTGAGCACTCTTGTTCACATAAGTTATATTGCACAACTACGTCTATTCGCTACCTTAGAGATTTTGCGGACTGGTGTATTTTGAATAAAGGACGTCGCAGCTGTAGTGGAGGATTAGACGGTTGCTGAATTTTGCAGTTATATCATCTTGCAATATAAACTTCTGTTCAGTAGATAGTACATGATAGTTCTGTTATCACAGTGCATCAAAGATTTTCACGGAGGCTTGCAAGCACCAAGAGCTATCAGCCTGCCAACTATGGTAAAGGCTAAAGGCCGACGAATAAGGTCCACATTGAGAATTGCGAGCTTTAATTATGACCTACTTCTCGCGATAGCCATACGCGATGTGCCATTTAAGATGTCTTCAAATGTAACGCCAGCTTACCACAATTGTGTAGCGTGTACAACTTTCTGAACAGATAAGTGCCCTGCATTCTCTACTTTTGGATCCGAACGATAAGCTATGAACACTTTGACTATTGCCAAACCACGTCGCTACTGAAATGCCTGCAGTATGCCCGGGGCTACAGGGGCAATCGCTTCGCGGAATAAACCACATGCCTTCGTCTACGATTAGCCTATAACACACATGACGAAAGTCTCCGATGAATATGGACTGGGAATTGCTACAGGGGGAGGGGTAAGTGAGAGTGCTAATTATGGATAAAAATTTACTTTATCGATTTTCGGAGAACTTTGAGCTGTGAGGCTGGGAGTTTGTAGAGGAGGGTAAGTGAAGGTGCTGATTATGAATTAATTTTTATTTTATCAATTTCATCGTTTTGGAGAACTTGGAGCCATGGGCTGCGATTTGGCACATGGGGTAAGTGAGGGTGCTGATTACAGATAAAAATTTACTTTATCGATTTTGTCGATTTGGAAAATCTTAAGCTACGAGGTTGGGGGTTGGTACAGGGGGTAAATGAGGATGCTGATTAAAAATGAAATCTATTTTATCGATTTCAGCGATTTTTGGAAAATTTTGAGCTAGGAGTTGGTATAAGGGATACGAGGGTGCTGATTACGAATGGATCGGCTTTAGCCAGATATATCGGCAAGTTTGAGATATGGTTGCTCTAATTATTCGATAAATCATTCGAATATTTATTCGAAATTCGACTACCAATGTTCGAATATATTCGATATTCATTCATTCGATATTTTTGATTTTCCGAATTTATTCGGAATTCATTCATTCGAGAATTTGTGAACCTCGAATTTATTCGATATTCATTTATTCGAGATTTTTCATTTACGAATTTGTTCGATATCCGTTTATTCGAAATTTTTCCTTTTCGAATTTATTCGATATTCATTCATTCGATAAAAAAATTTTCGAATTACCCAAGTATACAGAGTACATGGCTCTATGTATCGAAAGTATGACTGATGCGCTTCGGATTTGAGCTCAATACCGCACGCAAGGCTAGCATATTGAAACATGCAACAGCATGCGAAATTTGTTATTTTTGAGGGCATCAGTCATGTTGTTGCCTGGATCTTGCATGTTGCCAGTATGTTATCCATGCGTGCCGCAGGTCAGAGACGCAGAGCAGGGATGCACGAATTCGGGAGCTAGCGACATGCTCTATGCAGTACAAATCGGAATTAGGCCGAGCCGTTAGTGTAAATTTGCGCTCTCTCAGCGCTAGTGGTTCGCGGAGGACCGGTAACGGCAGAGTGGGCGATCCAATCCGCGCGGCGGCGGCAGCACGGCTCGCGTTGGGACCCACGCGGATTACGGTAGATCCTGCTCCGAGTGTCCGCCAAAGCACTGAATTCCCTCACTTTTTATTTCACTCTTTGTTTTCCATTCTACTTTCTCCTTTCCTTTCTTTCTGATACCGCTCCTCCAGTTGCCCAGCGACGCTGACGAACCGCCGTCCTTCTCTGCTGCCATCAATACGCGTTGCCAATGCAAATAGTGCGGCAAGTACAGGTTCGTCTTTCTTTGCAACGCACTTCCAATTCTTTGCCCTCTTGTTATACAGAGCGTTTGTGTTCATATGTATAAATGGCGTTACACACAGGAAATTTGAATTTTGTGAAAACGGATTTTGTGTATCGCTCTTTTTCATGCCTAAATAGTGAGCCCTGAACAGTCTTTTCAATTCATATCATTGAATTTTACTACAGGCTGCAAGATTATGCACCTAGATGGTTTGAATTGGTGAAATTTACCAGATCCAGGTACATATTCCATCATGAAAACCAAATTTATTACCAGCATGCAGGTTTTTTTAGAAGTCCATGAAAAGAGCTTTGGTGATAATTTTTTGAGAACAATGACATAAGCGCACTAATTAGCTGCATCATATGACTGTTACTAAAATAGGCAATCTGACCGCAGCCAAATTCTTAACTCGACTACTTGTGGAGCGAGAACATCGGTTACAGTTCGTGTTTCAGTGTGCTTCAGTGATCAATGTTAGTTTGTTGTATTCCAGTGAAGCATTTCTATCGCTCTTGGATTGCTTCCATAACGCTATGCTTCCATATTCGCTCGAGGATCTAGTAATTTCATTCGTTTATTGGTTTTACAGGTTAGGATGCATCCGGACGCTTACAGCGCAACTATTGGCAACAGCAGTTCGTGCAGCACCTCGTCAGGTAATTTTTTTGTGATAAGGCATATCTAGTTATAGTCCTGTGAACTTGACGGTTGTTGTAGTTCCGCTACAGTGCCAACAACAAATGGCGAAAAAATGACCACGAGTGCGCTTTCTCCGGTTTATGCCCATACGGTTCCTTACGCGCAAGTGATGTTGGCAGACATTGTCAGTCGACGTTTTCGATTTTTACATTTCTTTTGGAGCACTTCTTGCTAATTCTATTAACCTATAAGTGCTTTCTCAAAACGATAAAAGGAAGATTCATTTCACATCATTTCAGGTGCAGAACATTATCCGCTCCACTTCAGCATCTGAAGAACTTCCGCGCACATCCCTGTAGAACCTGCACAAGCTCCTCATGATTTGCGGAACGATAACTTGGAAGTCCGGACTTCCTCAAGACAGGAATGAACAAATGAGTTCAGAGCTAAAACTCACAGCAATTGACAGATTCCTGCAGCGGTAAGGGTATCTTGTGAGAAGAATCCACTTTTGTTGGCAGCTCCAATATTGGCTTCAGAGAAATTTGAAGTAAGCGATCGCTCCTAATGTAATCAATCAGTGTTTTATTTACACTAATTCTCTGGTCTATGCAACTGTCAGTCTCTGTTATCTCTATCACAATCGACAACGATGCTTATGAGGTCACGCCATGTTGAATGCTTGCCATAACGGACTGTCTGCGGCTCTGCCGATCTGATCACTATCTCATTGCAGAAATGCTAGACTTCAGACCGCGAATGAGTACAGTCTACAATGATATACGTTACTGCATCGGCGATTCAACTATAATTTAGAAAAAATTATTTAGAGCAGTGTCAAGCAAGGGTCAGTCTTGGCAGCACCTCCAATTCTCCAGCAATCCTCTACCTCAGCAGCAGTTCCTCCCACTATACAAAAGTTACCTACTTCGAATGCGCAAGTATTACCGAGTAAGCTTAAGAAGTCACCTAACAGGGGAAGGATACTTGGATGCCGTAGCCATTCATAATGATTTGTATACCAAAAAATGCGCTTTTGAATGCTGGTTCGTAAACTGTCTTTCATATCTGCGAAACGATAATCTGAATGGAGTTATGATTTTTTTCATTAAAAAAATTGCGTTCCTGCGGAGGGTCAAAATCATCAATAAAAAAATTTTCTCTCCTTTCCAAATGCTGATATGATTCACATAGTTCTAAATAAATATTACTACGTCTAAAATTTTCTTTAGTAGCATCAAACGTAGGCTAGATCAAGTCTGGTGATTTTTACTATCCAAAAGTGGGCTAAATTTTCAAGGAAAAAAGTTCATAACTTTCTTCAAAAGATAGTTTCGCAGATTTCGAGCACAGATTCAGAATCTGCATTCGAGGGCGCATTTTTTGGTATACAAATCATTAGGAATGGCCGCGGCATCCAACTCCTTGTAAGTCTTTTTTGTCAGTCTTTGTTTAGATGAAGTAGTGGAGGAAGGTGATGACGAAATTATATTCCAAGATGAACCAGATTATGATTGCATATCACTGGTGATGAGGCAGCGGGGAGTAATCTTGCGGAGATATTAGCGTTTTTTCAAATAGATTAACTCATGTACGCATAGTTCGAATAATGTCTTAATTGGCCTACTCGATTCCATCTATTTCCCTAGGGGTCATAATTCTTTCGATGAAATCGAACACATGGAAAAGCAATCGCCAACGGGTAATGCTTACCATCTCGACTCTTTATTCCCTGTAGTGATCTAATAATGTATAGATGCACTTGTTGTCGTATAAGCTGATACGTGTCGTTGTCATCATTGTTTTATGTTGTTGTCGCTCACATTAGATCAAAAATTGGTACATATAATTGTGCCATAGGTACAGTCGGTTTCATCCCGGATTAGGCGAGACATTCTACGTGGAGCAGCGCATGCGCACCGCTGGAGGCTTCGCGAGCGCATAGCGCTGGCACTTTGCCAAGCAAAGACTATGGAGATTGAAGAGACGCAGGCATGGGTTCTCAGCACGATAGGATATACTGTAGCTGCGAAACGGCGCGAGCTGTTGCGAGGCGGACTCCCGCCAGTCCAATTTCCGCCTAAAGCGGGTCGAAACTTACTGTACTTTCGACCAGAAAATTGTTGGTTTCTATTAATTCGCTTGAATCCCACTTTGTTCGTTTAGATCTTGTTTTGTAACCAACATTATGTTTGACGTTATTCGCAAATTCTAGTAAGGAACCAAATAGGGTTACTGTCATGTGCAGAAACTAGATTTATTTTGCAGATTTTTGAAACATAACCACTGTGCACAATAGTATTCTATTGAAAGAATAAGCGTAATAAACTTTTCCAATTTTCGACTGTCAAAACTTCGATTAACAATATAATTTGACGGCACAAAGATGTCCATTCTTGAACCTCGCGGCAGATTTACAATTTTTTTCATAGCAAGTGGGGAGCGGGCACAAGACTGAGAGAGAACGAAGGAACTGTACACTGAGAAACCATCAAAAACGGCCGAAAACTGCTGTTTATGGAAATGTAGATTCAACAACATACATCCTTTGTGAATTATACGCTCGGAAGGAGGTCTGTTAATGAGGATGCTAATACAGTCAATGTCAAATGACACGATTCTCTTCCTGTACTCATGGCCTTGCGATATAATGCAAAGCAAATCAGCTAACTACATCAATGCCTGAAAAAACTTGTAGCGTAATCCAGATACACCAGAAGCTACAGTACTGACGATGAGTATGGTCCTGAGGCTCTATTCATGCTAAAACTTGGAGTATATTCTCGACAAAAAAGAGAAAATTTCAGTTTCATAAACTTTTCCTACAAACAACATTTATTTCTTTCTTAAACAGTAAAACATCTATTCGTCTCAATCTCGCTTACTAAGCCACATCTCCTCACTGCAAAGTTCTACTTCTGCAATACGTTTCTTCGTAGTTCTATACGTAATAAGCAACAGCGATATAAGTTTATATTTTGATAAGAGGTAACTTCAAACAAACATCATTTGACTTATGATCAACTACCAGCATGCTTCACAAGGGAATGGGGAAGGATACATGTGATTATTACTACGTTCCAAACCAGATTTGCCAAAAACAAGAGCTTGGTCATCGAAGTTGTCTTGAACAATGAAAGAAAAAAATACAAATAAAGGACCACAAATTATGATGACCATAACATAACAAAACCACCTTGACGAATGACTAGAGGAGAGGAAAACCCTTAAAGGGCGGACATACTTCACGCGATTTCAGTCGCGACGCAATTTGGCAATTCGCCAGAAGTCTTCAGTTCCAAAACTGGCAAACTGCGCACGCATGGTGTGTACAACTTACATGGATTGATAAAATGCCCTATCTTCTGTACAATCAAAATGTGCTCATAGTGAGTTATGGACAGTTGGAATACTGCCAAATCGCGTCGCGACCAAAATCGCGTGAAGTATGCCCGGCGCTTTAGCAGTAACAACAATGAAGAAAACCGGGGTACTCCGAAATGACGGCTGTAAACGCAAACAATGATACCTAATAAAAGATAAGGTCGCAAACGCTGAATGGGGAGAATAGATCAAACAGAGGCTCATAAGATAGTATAGATCTATACAACAAGCATAACAGTTTACCCACATAATTCTTCTAAAGGTGTATTTGGATAGAAACGTGTCCTATCCAGCAGCATCAGCCAAATTTTGCCTTTCCGCAAATCCAGAACAGAGCGGTTAATGAATGCGTGACTAATACTTACATATAGCCAAAAACGAGAAAATTTTGGGAAGATAAACAGTAAGAAGAATCAAACTTATTTTATACTAGCTGGCTTACCCGGCTCCGCCGTATCCGGACCAAACTTGGCACACATACACTTCGGGCCCCGGCGGGTGTCATAGTCCACTTTTCGTTATCGATCGATGTCGATTTTACCGATTTTTATCGATTTTTTTGCAGAGTTCACCTACAGGGCTAGGAGTTGGCACAGGGGGGGAAGTGAGCATGAGGATTCCGAATACACTATTAGTTTTCAGAATTATCGATTACTTTTATTGATTTTATCGATTTTTTGTAAATTTTGACATGCGAGGCTGGGATTTTGCACAGGGGGGTAATCGAGCATGCTGATTACGAACACAATATTAGTTTTCAGGATCGTCCATTACTTTTATCGATTTTATCGATTTTTTTGTAAAGTTTGACCTGCGGGGCTGGGAGTTTGCACAGGGGGGGGGGGTAATCGAGCATGCAGATTACGAATACAATATTAGTTTTCAAGATCGTCCATTACTTTTAACGATTTTATCGATTTTTTGAAAATTTGAGCTAGGGGGCTGGAATTTGGCACAGGGGTGTAATCGAGCATGCTGATTACCCCCTTGGGGATGATCAGCATGCTCGATTACCCCGCTGTGCCAACTCCCAGCCCCCTAGCTCAAACTTTGCAAAAAATCGATAAAATCGATAAAAGTAATCGATAATCCCGAAAACCAATATTGTATTCGGAATCCCCATGCTCGATTACCCCCCTGTGCCAACTCCCAGCCCCGTAGGTGAACTCAGCAAAAAAATCGATAAAAATCGATAAAATCGATATCGATCGATAACGAAAAGTAGCCTATGACACGCTCCCTGCCCTGAAGTATATGTGTGCCAAGTTTGGTCCGGATCGGTTCAGAAATGGAATTTTCTATTCGGAACATACGTACATACATACATACAGACAGACAGACATACAGACAGACAGACAAACAGACATTCAGCTTTATATATAAGACTAGCTGGCTTACCCGGCTCCGCCGTATCCGGACCAAACTTGGCACACATACACTTCGGGCTCCGGCGGGTGTCACAGTCCACTTTTCGTTATCGATCGATGTCGATTTTACCGATTTTTATCGATTTTTTCGCAGAGTTCACCTACAGGGCTAGGAGTTGGCACAGGGGGGAAGTGAGCATGGGGATTCCGAATACAATATTAGTTTTCAGAATTATCGGTTACTTTTGTTGATTTTCTCGATTTTTTGTAAATTTTGACATGCGAGGCTGGGATTTTGCACAGGGGGGTAATCGAGCATGCTGATTACGAACACAATATTAGTTTTCAGGATCGTCCATTACTTTTATCGATTTTATCGATTTTTTTTTGTAAAGTTTGACCTGCGGGGCTGGGAGTTTGCACAGGGGGTAATCGAGCATGCAGATTACGAATACAATATTAGTTTTCAAGATCGTCCATTACTTTTATCGATTTTATCGATTTTTTGCAAAGTTTGAGCTAGGGGGCTGGGAGTTGGCACAGGGGGGTAATCGAGCATGCTGATCACCCCCCTTGGGGATGATCAGCATGCTCGATTACCCCCCTGTGCCAACTCCCAGCCCCCTAGCTCAAACTTTGCAAAAAATCGATAAAATCGATAAAAGTAATCGATAATCCCGAAAACCAATATTGTATTCGGAATCCCCATGCTCGATTACCCCCCTGTGCGAACTCCCAGCCCCGTAGCTCAAACTTTGCAAAAAATCGATAAAATCAATAAAAGTAATCGATAATCCTGAAAACCAATATTGTATTCGGAATCCCCATGCTCGATTACCCCCCTGTGCCAACTCCCAGCCCCGTAGCTCAAACTTTGCAAAAAAATCGATAAAATCAATAAAAGTAATCGATAATCCTGAAAACCAATATTGTATTCGGAATCCCCATGCTCGATTACCCCCCTGTGCCAACTCCCAGCCCCGTAGGTGAACTCAGCAAAAAAATCGATAAAAATCGATAAAATCGATATCGATCGATGACGAAAAGTAGCCTATGACACCCGCCGGGGCCCGTAGTGTATGTGTGCCAAGTTTGGTCCGGATCGGTTCAGAAATGGAATTTTCTATTCGGAACATACGTACACACATACATACAGACATACATACATATAAACAGACATTCAGCTTTATATATAAGATAATCGCTGTATGTGTGCATTTCATCTTTACTTGATTTCAAGCGTAAACGGATGCTTATATCTTCATCGTTAGAGTGAGCAATTTTTCCACTGAATTAGCCGGTAACGAAGATATATTTTTGCTCCGAAGAAAGCCAAAACAAGAAGTGCTAATTTAAAAAGCAAAGTCTCAATTGACCGAAAGACAGAAACTTACCGAATTCTCAGTATTCTCAGTATCCTTGATTGTGCTCACGTTAGATGATGTAGCTTTCAGAAGACAATGGTTTTAGTTTGAGTGGCGTTTCTGAAGACACCAATATGTATACTTGGCCAAATTATACCAATTCTGAGACAAGGACAGTGATGTCAACAATTGTGACGCACTGTCCTTGTCGTTATCGCTAGGGTGTCTGAGTGAACTAATCAGTTGTCCGTCACCGCCAATGTACCTGAGTTCTCATCACTCAAGCAATATTATGCAGATAAAGATGCGAGAGAACTCCAGCAAACAAATCGTACGGAAGTTGTCAAAAGAGTCTACGGATTTTATGTTAGAGCACCATAAGGCAAAAAAAACCAAAACATTCTCATCAAACTACTCACCAGTTGCTTCCTCAATTTTGCTCTCGTGAGAAACGATGACAGCAGTCAATTGACTCGTATCTAACTTAACCACTCACTGGACTATGGCGGAATCCGTGGAAAGCAGCTTTGCCTATACAAATTAATCAAATTTAGATCAAAGTCTCAATTATACGAAAGCGAGAACTTACCGCAGCCTAGCATCCTTGATTGCGCTTACATTAGAGGACGTAATTTCCTTTTAGAAGGCAGCGATTTGATTCGTGTCTACTTTTCTTACCTTTTCAGCACTTTTCTCACGAGTCCAAGGAGTTTAGAAGCTTGAAAGTGGAGCCTGTAGGGGAATGAAGCGCTTTGGCGGATACTGGGAGCGGGATTTACCGTAATCCGCGTGGGTCCCAACGCGATCCGCGCTGCCGCCGCCGCTACCGGTCCTCTGGTTCGCGCTGCATATGCGCAAGTGCCTTTAAAGGCAGTGGATCGGCAAAATCCAACAACTCGGGATTTTAACGCGGTAGGTTCCTTATCGCCCAACTATGAAAACAGTGCAATCCCGGTTGCGCAGCATGCTTTCTCTGCCGAGAAAATCGCTCTCGAACTTACACGCGCAGGCCAATCTTACACGCATCTAGACGAGTTGGCAATTTCCTTCTCACCATTGGAGGCTGCCCGCCGCAACGCTATAACCATTGGGTCCTGCCACGATTTAGCGTCATCGGCCTTGCTCCACTCGTCCAATATCAAAGGGAAGGGCATTGAAAAACGCTCATTTTCGCCGTTTTCAAGCTTTCAAAAGTGGATTTTCGGGATCAGCGTATTGAAAAACCCCAGGTAAGCGCAAATTTGACTAGGTTGAGATTTGCCGAGCCACTGCCTTTAATGCTAGGATTGTTGGAAAAACCTGTTCAAGCACTCAGATAATCGCCGGGGGCAGGCGGGCACCGGAAAAATAGTTTGCTGATCTCTCGCACCCCGCTCGCGGATTTTTTGCAAAGCAATCAGGACTTTTCGGAAGACCGCTTGCTGAATTCTCGATTCCTCAGTGATTCAGCAATATATCTGCAAAAGATAAGAGCGAAAAAAATTCAACAGGCGGTCTCTCAAAAATCCGCTGACTCAGCGAGCGGTCTTCCGAAAAGTCCCGATTGCTTTGCAAAAAATCCACGAGCGGGGTGCGAGAAATCAGCAATCTATTTTTCCGGTGCCCGCCTGCCCCCCGCAATTATCTGAGCATGTTAAATAACACGAGTTTGAACCATCTTTCACGAGTTTCTGATAATGACTTACCAAAACGCGTTAAAGCGCATCCATTGAGAGTTAGTCAGACGGCGCAAAGCGTGCTCGTGTCTTTTGGTCAGAGAATGAGTGATATGTCACTCTGTAATTTCATGTAAAGCCCATTTCTAATCGGATTTCAATATCCCGCATTTTTCAGGGGTGCAAGCAGAGCCCGGCGTAGATGGTCTGGGATCAAACTGAACTTCGTATTTGAGGTTAGAGCCATAGGGGATATCGTTTTTATAAGGTCCTGGGCGAAGCACCGAATAAAAAAACGGCAAACATTTCAGGTTTTACGAGTCGACATGTTTTTTTGCAAGCGCGCGAATTTCAAACGCAAGACTCAAACAAACAAATGGCTTGTTTACAGTGCACAAACAATCAAATGGCACCGAATTTGGGCTATATGTACACAATATTACTCCAAACTATATTATGTAAAAAGTTTCAAAAACTTACGTGTTTTTATATCCGTTCCTAAATTTGTTGGTTTCTAGACCAACACCAAACAAGTGGGTTGGTTCGGAGCATAAATATCGGAAAGTTCACAAAAGTTTTGGCCCTTTTTGATTTGGACGATTAGAACGCTTAAAAATCTATCATATAGTGGAGAAAGCGAATCAAACCATTGCCTCTCCTCTTTTTTTTAGCCAAAAGTAGTGTAAATCTATGCGTTGATAGATATTGCGCTCCAATCACATGCGACGTCCTTTGAACAATGTGCGAAAAATGCATCGCCAGATTGTTGAGGCCACAGATTTGGTTTGCCTAGAGGGTTTTCGACATTCTAGGACCAAAATGGTACCATACTTAACGACAAAGCCTTTAATCAACTCAAAATGTTTTTTTTTGGCTTTTGTTATATCAGACACCTCAAAATGCCTTTTTTCGCTTTTCTATTGATGTTGATTGAATAAGGGTTTTCCTATTGATTTTTACGTCAAAAGGGACTTCGTGAATTCTCGCGAAGTCATCAGGGACTTCGTTTTCAAAAATGCTCCAAACCAACGCGTGTCGGGCCCTGGGTGCAAGTGTTGAAGTTGTGCATACTGCGCTCCAGTGCACTTTTTGACGCCGCGTAAATGCCGAATTTGAAATTCGTGGTATCAGCAAGCATGTTGAAAATTTCTTGCGTGGATTTCTTTTCCTTGCTCTTGAATTTTCTCGCTTATAAGATTGTCCCGGAAGCAATTTATCTTGTAACTATTGTATTGTACGGTTCCAATATGCGCAGCATACGAGGATTCGATGGCTTTGCACCCAAAGCCCACACGAAGACTTTCGGATCTGGATCCCGAGGATTCATTCAATGATCCTGTACAGCTTAATGAATCGTGGTTCTATGGACCCCCAAAGAAAAAGCAAGCATTGAGTCCGAAGGGCGAAGGTGGAGTGAAAACATCATTATCTTGCCCAGTAAGTCTTTTCTTTCTATGGTGCTATGTTGTAGTTCATCAATCAGAAATTTAGGGAACCTTCAAAAAGGCATCGTTAATCGAAAAAAGCCTAGGTGAAATGGAGACTTTTCCTAAACAGCGCCTCGCACTCGCCAAGCTCGAAGAATCATCCAAAATTTTCAGAAACTCGCGCGTTTTCAGCGTCGAATGTCCTGAATTTACGGGTAAACGTTCATCAAAAAGAATTTTGAAGTCTGTATTTCTCATACTCTTATCTTGTAGGCGGAGAACGCCGATATCTTGTCAGTACAGTGGAACGATTTTGGGTTTGGTACCAGTCGTTGGAAAAACGAAACTTCTACGAGCTTATAACTGAATCGACACCATGCCGGCTTTATTTTGATTTGGAATACTCTAAAAGCTCAAATCCTGATATTGACCACAAGGTTTGCAAACGTATTTCCAGAAAAAAAACCCTGTGGAAACAATTCCTGACGTTTAGGCTGCTTATAAGCATTTCATAGGCAAAGTGAAGTGTCAGCTGAAGTCTGATTTTGACTTAGATGTAAACCCAGACAAGGTATGTAATTTCGGAAGTTCTGTACCGTCCCATATTTGTGTAGGTCACTTTGATTCAGTTTATCAGAAGTCAGCTTCAGCTGCATGGGTAGTAAATTATCTTCATAGTTTTCTTGAACTAAAATCACTGTTCAGCTAATCTAAACTGGCCCACAACGAAAAGTTGAAGGCCCTAGCCAGACTTCGCTCAATAGCGTCCATAAGCGCTCAAAAGCGCCCAAAAGCGCGCAAAAGCGCCCCAATTTCTCTGGTGTCTCTTCACTTTCTCGTGTGAGGAGAGATGAGAGAGAGGATGAGGAGAGGTTAGAGAAGTTTGGGCTCTTTTGCGCGCTTTTGGGATTCGGCGTCTTCAATACCCTCTGAGGGCATGCGCCGAGCGCACACACTAACTTCATAGTCGAAGAGGCAGTTGTATGCGTGCGAGCCTATTACAGTGACCTGCGGGGGCCAGCCGTTTCCAAGTCAGTGCTTTTATCCTCCTAGATTACTCTGGTACCAATTTCCGGCCCCGGAGGGTAGAGGGCTTGGTTGGCCCAGGGGCGGGGATCGAACCTGTGTCCGATCTGGTCATAGCGGCGCCTCATACCACTACGCCACTCGTCGCCCTCAATTAAATTTTCATCCGTCCAATTCCCTTGGTTAATTGTTTACTATGAGAACTGTTTAGGAAATGAGCTTTTTTTATCTTTTTCCTCAGGTTTCTCAAGTATGTCACAAATCTGAGCTATTTGCAATTTTCTAGGACTTCCTGGTTCTGGATAGCTCAACCGACAGCAAGTTCTCGGCACATGTGATTTGTCATCTTCCTGGTGGATATCTTTTTCCTTCAAATGTACGTGCGTCATCGCTATTCGTATAAAGGTCCGAGCTCTTTTGTTTCATACATCACATCAAACTTTTTTCTTCACAGACGCATATTCGTCCATTTTGCAATCGACTTCACGATTCACTGCTTGATAATCCTCCAGTGAAAATCTGGAACTCTGATGGGGATAAGGTCGGAAATTAGCCACAACCCTAATCATTGGCTAGTTCTGAATTTAAGGAAACTGTGATATTTGATAGTGCCGTCTACACGAAGAATCGTAACTTCCGACTCTATCTTTCATCAAAGTTGGGGAAGCATACCATGCTAAAGCTGGCTGATTATTGCAAATTCTATGGTAAGTCTGTCTTCCTTTTCTCCTTTTGTGCTTGTAAGTTTCCTTCAGGATCTAAGAGGCCCTCCGATCGACAGATTTTCTTTGACTCAATCTGCGTCCCTGTTCATACGTCCGAATGTCCGTTACTGAAAGTTGTAGACAATGAAGTCGCAGATACCGCAAAAGAAACATCCCGCGGTACAGAAATTTCAGTTGGAGTATTGCTATCTCATGTTTGTCTTTTTGCAGTTGTTGGGGCTGCAAAAGTGCACGAGAGCTCCGGGCCATCGCCTTTTCCACAGTTGGATGAATTTATGATTATGATATGGAAGAAGTGGAATCAGAGCGTTTATATACGACAATGGAGGATCACCGAAAACGATCAAAATGTCATCACAAGCATCACATACTATGTAAGTTCTTCCGAATCTTGTCAATGTTGGCTTGGAATTATGTGCCTCAGTGTGGACCTGGAGTCTTTTATACATTTTCGTCTTTACTTACCCTCCAAAGCCGCGCCGTTTCAAAATCTGCATAAGGCTACTTTCCGCATCTCAGTACGGTTCATTTTTGTTAGAATTTTTGCAAGTGGTGGAAAGTGAAGACATATGCGCCGCTATCTCAGTGCTATCAGGAAAACCATAGTTAAGATTTAGTGTTCTTTCTGGAAAACAAGTGGAACGTTCTCAAACACTCCACATTTGCACTTCAAGATTCCTTCCTGCAGAGTATATGCTCTTATTTGGATAATTTTTCAGCCAGCAAATTGTCGCTATTGTTTCAATATCGGTCGTGAACACAAAAGCAATGGAACTTATTGGATAGTAAATTTAGAAAGGTGAGATTTTTTGCTGTCTCTGTATATAGACAGCTGATCTTCGTTGGTACTTTCCATTCAGCTTAATTTTTCGTAGAGATCGTTTATTTTGCAAAATGTTCTTGTGGTTTACATGCATCCTGTGCTTTTCAGGAATGATTTCTGTCAGAAGTGTTTTGATGTCGAATGTCGAGGTGTTTCCTCCAATTTGTTCCCCTTGCCTCCATTTATGGCAAATGCACTGCACCAGGATGGCGATCGGAATGGTAAATGCTTTGCTCTTTTCACCTGTAGGCACAAATTTTCTATGACTTTACATCCTGAACATAAGGAAGTGCATACAGTACGATAGCTTCTGCATACGTAGTTGATAGCCGGGAGCTACCTATATGAGTGAATGTCGAATGGAGCGGTTCGGAAGATCTATTCTTGTGAAAGTCACCTTGAATCCTTTGCATATTTCTCATACAGGAGCAAGATTGTTCGTTTTAGATCTATTTACTTGGAGGGCAGTATTGGATCTTATGTTAGATGATGCGTAGGAGATTTATGGGGGCAAGCATGATGGGGAATGTCATGATTTATTTGAGATGAGACCAGCCAGCACGTTTGCGCGTTGTCATGTAATCGACAATGTTCTGTTAGGCATGCAGGACATTCTTTTTGCCTGATCATATCCCTTCCCTGCACTGGCGATGTGAATCACACAAGTTAAGTAAGGAAGCGCAAGGGATTAGGTTCTTAAAAATGTTTGGCAGTTCTGATTTACACTGTTTATAACAAGTGGAACAAAGTTTCAAGTTTTTGTACGATATTCCTCCCTTGTATTCAGCCTATATGACATGCCTATAAGATTGCTGCATCCTCGCAGCTCTGGACATGCAGTGCGCTGTGAGCAATACCCTCGGCATTTCAAGCTACCCTGAGAGTTTTGAAGTTCTTGCAACCACCCTTCCATGGACATGTGTGATAGGCCATCACTAGGGTTGACGGAAATATATCTTCTTGACTTGATAGCGCACAATGTTCCTTTCTATCCAAACATTACATTCTGCAAAATACATTTGTGGCAGTTGCTCTCCCTTGAAAAACAATTTTTTCTAGGATATGTGCTTCAGGCTTAGCGTTCGAAGCCTATCGTAACTTTACGTTTAACGTGGTCGACATATTGAGATATCATGTCTTTTTTATTTTTGCGGAAGCACGGGATTGGAGATTCATTGATAATCCGAATTTACACCTGTATCTCTCCCCCCCCCCATCCATCCTCCCACGGCTTTCTTGCATGAAGAAAATTTTCCGGGTCTTAAAAAACTCCAGTTCTCGGGGGAAGACTTCTCGGAGCTTGTCCAAAAACCATGGTATCTGCTATAGTTGTAACGAACAAAAATTTTCACCGAATGAACGAATATCGAATATTCAATTTTCGAAAAATTTTTGAACGAATTAATATCGAATAATTATTTTCGATATTTTTGAACGAATGAATATCGAATATTTAATTTTTGAAAATTCTTCGAATGAACGAATACTTGAATAACCGAACTTGATCGAATACTCGACTAATTTCGAATAAATGTTCGAATATTATTCGAATATTTGAATGCAATATTCGAATATTCGAATATTCGAATAACCATCTTTCAAAACTACTCGAATGAACGATATTCGAATGACCGTTTTTTAAAACTCCTCGAATGAACGAATATTCGAATAAGTCATTTTTCGAAATCGTTGTCAGGACCAAGGGTTGATCGGACCCTTGCCTGAGGGTGTGTAGCGGTATACTGTATGACAGTGTCTATTATAAATATTTATTATATAAAAAGAGTTACATATAGAGTGGGGGGTGTAGGGGGTGTGAGAGACGGGGCTGGAGTCGACCAGCTATCTCCATGACGGAGCCCGCTCTGCCGTGCTCATGATCCTCCTCCGAAGGATGTCTCACGTAGACCATGCGGGACGGGATGACTAAGCGGCGCGGGTGATTGATGAAGAGGGACCCGACATCTCCATTCCTTCAGAAAGCTCGTCCTCGAGCTTAGTTCGAACATGACGAGATGAAGATGCATACAGTTGATTATATTGATAGTAAAAAGAAGGGAGTAGGATTAGGTGAACTGGTTCAACAGTCACGACCTTTTCCATACCCCAAACAACTGAGAGTCGGCTCGTCCTCGAGCTGAGAGTGAGTACAAGGGAGTAGTCATTGATGAAGAGGAGGAGTTGCGGAGCAGTGCTGGATGGGCAGAGGGAGATACGGAATGGGTAATGGACATGAAGTAGGCGTGGGGCAGAAGTAAAAATTGGGTTACAATGATTTGTTGTGCATTGAAACAGTAAACAACTGATGGCTAAACGGTTCATAATAAGCGAGGAAAATTGAAACAGTCACGAAATAGGGAAAAATTTGGGGTGACAATAACTGAGGGGAAAAACTACAATATGCATTGGGAATAGTTTGAATTAAATGTTACTATTAGCTGCAAAAATGTGCTATACATACGATCTTAACTTTAAATAGTTGTGTAAAGGGGTTTATGGGTCATGTGTCAAACTAGCACAATATTACTAGTTTTTCACAAGGGCGAAATTTGAAATTGTAAAAGGAGAGCTGCTTAAGGAAAGAAAGATTTTTTAATCTCCTTTGAATCGCCGGTTCAAAGAAGTAACATGTAGTTGTAAGCGCGATGCGCATAAAGAAAGAGAAAGAAACTTACTAAAAAAAACGAACTCAGAAGCGAGATACATACTTAGAAAGTTGTTGAATGGGTGGTGTTTGCAATAAGCTCATGAGAGCTTTGTTTACGCTTCTGAAGACGTTTAGAACGACGAACAGGTGGTGGTGGCTCATTGTTGTCTGATGTTTCTGAGGTAGTAGTGAGAGTTGAGTGGGATTTTGTTGAGAAACATTAGCTAACGGTGAGCGTGGACAATAAATCTTCAAACGATTAATGTGGACAGTGTGTGAAGTTTGTTGCCCAATCAAATTTCTAATGATAACGTTAGGACGAATCACATGTTCTACAAGGTAAGGACCTTTCCACTGGACTGTGAATTTGGGACGAACAGTATCGTCATGTAGAAGCACAAGATCACCAGTAGAAATTTCCTTTGTAAAAACTTTATGGTGAAAGTCGTAACCTGATTTATATTCTGCAGTCTTCTTTGCAATTTGATGTCCAACCTCCGTGATTGTCGTCTGTAAAGCGAGCGTGAACTGGTCGGCAAAGTTATCCGATGCATAGGCGATCCTGGATGGAAGCTCATGGACGATATCACTCCAGGTGATGGGGTTTCGTCCATACACAACGAAATAGGGGCTGTATCCTGTGGTGTCGTTAACGCTTGTGTTGTATGCGAAGACGATGGGCTGCAGGAAGTCTGACCACAAATCGCGCGCTTCGGAGCAGTATGCTGTTAATGCATCGGTTACAACCTTGACCAGTCGTTCGACTTGTCCGTTGGCTTTATGATTGTAGCTTGTCGTGACAGAGTTCGCGATTCCCAAAATGCGATTTATTTGAGAAAAAATTTCGCTGGTGTAATTGCTGCCACGATCAGAAACAATTGCATTTGGGATGCCATGTTTTGAGATGACATCGTTAATTAAAGCCTTGACAACTGTTTCAGTAAGCTGGTTCGGAATTGGAGTGCAAATCATAAGCTTACTAAAAGCGCATACCGTTATGGAAATAAATTTATTCCCATAGATACATTGTGGCAGAGGTCCAACAATGTCAGTGTGTAGACGCTCAAATGGTCGCTGAGGTATTGGGAAGGATCCCAATTCTTCTCGTATTATGTGACCAGATGGGGTCTTAATTTTCTGGCAAACAGTACATGATTTGATATATTGAATTACTTGTTTATACATCTGAGGCCAAAAGTATTTTTCTTCGATAGCTTTAAAAGTCTTTCTGATACCTAGGTGGGCATTTAAAAGAGGGTTATTGTGAAAAATCTGAATTATTTTAGTTTGCATTTCCTTGTTTGGAATTATTAACTGAGGAGTTTTCTTAAATTTTGTATAAAGACAATTATTGAAAAGAGCATATCTGTCTAGAGTGTCAGAAAATTCTTCTGGGGGATTCTCTTCTTCTCCACGTAAAAACTTTATCAGAGAATGGTAAGGAGACTGCATTTGAGAGTTTTTGACGTCTTCTAGAGTTGGAAGAGAATTCACCTGTATGGCTTTTATAGCAACGGGATATCGGCTTAGAAAGTCACATAAAGTATTGTGCTTCCCTGCACGATATTCGATTTTCAAATCATAGGCTTGAATAGTAATCTGGTACTTAGCAAGCCTACCGACCAAATCTGTCCGATGCATCAGCGATTTAAGCGGCGCATGGTCAGTAACTAAAGTAATTGAAGCGTTCGCGACGTAAGGGTAAAAATGCTTCAATGCGAACACAATCGCTAATGCTTCTAACTCTATAATAGCATAATTTTTCTCATGCTTAGTAAGAGGACGGCTACAGTAAGCAATCGGATGTTCTGCGTTAGTTTCCGGATTAACCTGCAGTAAACATGCGCCTACGCCGATAGTGGAAGCATCAGTGTGTATCAAATAAGGTTGTCCTAGGGTCGGTGGTACTAGGATTGGTGCTCTTATTAGTGCACGCTTAAGGGTATTGAATGCTTGTTCATGCTCATCTGTCCATTTGAATGGAGTATCTTTGAGCAAGAGATTATTAAGTGGTGTGGCAATAAAAGAAAATCGCGGTATAAATCTACGAAAGTAAGAAGCTGCGCCGAGAAATGATTTTACCCCTTTTGCATCTGTAGGTTGTGGGATTTTCACAATGCTAGCTATTTTATCGGGATTCAAACGTGTACCTTTTTTACTAATTAGGACACCAAGATATTGAACTTCTGTTTTGAAAAAAGAACATTTTTCAGGAGTCAGTTTCATCCCGAAATTCTGAATTCTTATAAACACCTCTTCTAAGTCGAGAAGATGTTCTTCAACCGAATGACTAGCAATGATTATATCATCGATGTACGCAAAACAGCAGGCTTTGAGTTCGCGTACAAGAGAGTTTGCCACACGCTGAAAAGTGCCGGGAGCGCCTTTAAGGCCTTGAGCCATAACGGTAAATTGAAAAAGACCTAAAAATGATGTAAAAGCTGTGCGTTCTTTATGTTTAGGCTCGAGTGGGATTTGGAAAAAACCACTTTTAAAATCAAGAACGCTATAGATTTCCTTTCCTCCAACTAAATCGATGATATCTTGAATGTGGGGAATGCAATAGGTTTCGTTTTCAGTGATAGCATTGATTTGCCTATAATCAACGGTGAAACGCCATTGGTCTTTATTGGTTCCCTTTTTGACTAAAAGATTGGTGAGGCAAATTTGCTAGTGCTAGGCTCAATTATACGTGTGCGCAGCAAAAAGGATAGGCTAAAAATAGATGAGGGATAGCTGATAAATGCTATCATCATTAGTCCCACGCTGGAGCGAATTCCATTCCAGCTAAAAATAGTTGAGGGATAGAGGATAAAAGCCATTATCATTAGCCTCAGGCGCGGAGAAGGGTTCCCGGTTAAAAATAGATGAGGGATATAGGATAAAAGCCATTATCATTAGTCGGAAATGAGGAGAATTCTATCCCTTCCTCAAGGCATGACTAATGTTAGGCGGAGGTTGATGTCGGCGAGCGCAATCGCGCAATTGTTGCCACTCAGAGGCGGCTTGCTTTCGTTACCCGCGGGCGATTAATTGCCACAAGTTTCACGGTGTATCTTTTTGCGCGATACCCGAGCGCAATGAGTAAGACTAGTGTAGAACGATAGGCGAACATTTGCTGATTAGTAGGTCAGCGCGCCAACGTATGCCACACTTTTATTTTGGTACGTACCGAAAAAATTACGCCGGCAGCGCGAGCGAGTCCTTATAGATTACTAAAACAATAAAAATACCAATAATCATTTTAAGAATTTCGAAATTACAACAATTTTTTTTTAAATCACAAAACTGTGAATAATATCCAAAAAGGCAAAAAGATGCATTTCCTGATAAGCTCCCTATTTCAAACTATGAAATTTTCCTAGTACTATGCACTGACGTATTCGCGTAGCGTACATCGCTATGCGGAAAAGAAAATTTACTTTTGATTTCCATCATCGTCATGACAGAACTAGGGCAATTAAATTCCGGACTTACGTTTGCAGAATCCAAAATAAATGTAATTCCTATAATCTGAAGGGGAGAGAAAAAAAATAAATTGAAAAATCATCTTCAGAGGTACTCGCTCGCAGGACTGTAAATTCATTAATCACAGCAAGTGTTTATGGTACACTTGCACATTTTGAGTTCGAAGAATGATAAAAGAACTCACTTTCGTTCCATCTCCTATGGCCATTAGGAATGGTCGAAAAAAAATATGGGAAGGTTGGGTGAGGGGGGGGGGGGGGTGAAATGAAATGTAGCAGAGGAAAAAAAGAAAGAAAGGAAAAAAAATCTTGATTCCCTTTTTTTTTGAAATTAATATTTTGACCTAAATTTAGGTAAATATCTCCCCGGGACTTCCATGTCAGGACCAAGGGTTGATCGGACCCTTGCCTGAGGGTGTGTAGCGGTATACTGTATGACAGTGTCTATTATAAATATTTATTATATAAAAAGAGTTACATATAGAGTGGGGGGTGTAGGGGGTGTGAGAGACGGGGCTGGAGTCGACCAGCTATCTCCATGACGGAGCCCGCTCTGCCGTGCTCATGATCCTCCTCCGAAGGATGTCTCACGTAGACCATGCGGGACGGGATGACTAAGCGGCGCGGGTGATTGATGAAGAGGGACCCGACATCGTCGAATGAACAAATTATTCGAATAAAGACATTTATCATTTATTCGACTATGCGACAATCGAATAAATGGACTTTCTCGAGTATTCGACTATTCGAATATTCGAATAGTCGAATATTTCGAATAAATTATTCGAACACGAATATTCGGTTCCAACTATAGTATCTACTGTTTTTCAAGCACTGAGTGCCGATGGAACTTTTTGTTTGCGAAAGCGAATCGATCTGGCCAACTGTTATGTGCGTCACTACAGTTATATAAAATGTTTGTTTAACTCTGTCAAAGATGCATGTTTCTGTGAATCACTCACTGCTTTGAAGCGATGTTACAGTTGAATAGAAAGTGCGGCTGCTATTGTTTCCTTTCCACTTTGACTCAGCTAACATCGTTAGTCATAGCTTTTTTTGAAAAACGAATCTCTCAAATTTCATTGCCGCAAAAGTTTGTATTTTAGGTTCGAAACAAAACCTAGACGACACATTCTCCGATGACGACGAAGCGGCGTCGTTTTTTGACGAAAGTGCAATTGAACTGCACGAGTTTTTCACACACTGGGACGAGGTGTTCGAACAATGAATGTGTAGCGTGGAAGTTTCTTTCACTAACCTGCCGTATCTCCTATATTAGTTCTCGTAGATTTTGCTCTTTGACTTTTCAGACGTCGATCAAGTTTTTTCAGTGATTTAACCAACACCAAGATTATCATAGCATTTATTCGGCAAACCATTTATTCGGTTTTCAGATATCTTTTGAAAAGGTGCAATGAAGAGTCTATACCTTTACAGTCCTGGATAGAATGAAGTTGTGTATTTTCACTGATTTAATCTTTTTTTGCCTAATTATCCTTTGATTTTAACCTCGCGTTAACATCGATTTTTAACAGTGACCACATCATCTATAGACTTGTTTGTCTACACTACCTTCTACTCCTTTAGCCCTCTCTTCAAACCATACATTCTCAAAAAATTATTTGCAAGAAGGTTCAGCTCGCTTTATCATTTGAGGGGGCTGTTAATCTGAAATGTTACGGCTGGAATTTTTTTTTTTTTTGAGAACAGCTGTGGTGCTCACTTTTTGACAGTGTTAAAGTCTAGGGTTCCTAGCAGATAACAGATGATAGTTCTCTTCCGGCATTATTTGATAGTCAATCGTTTTTCTTGCTTATCAGTCTGCTTTGAAATGGAAAGTATTGCTTACTCACTCGACATTTCGATGCATAAGGTGGTACTGTTAGGTCATGGCTTTTTAGCTAGAATATACGCTCTATTTTCACACTCTTCATTTTGAGTCCCGTAAATTGTACTCAAATGTGCATAGTTTGTTCTTTTCCATCTTTTGAAGTGTGCTCTGTCGTGAAGTTCACATTTGGAAACGCTGTTTTCATTTTCTTCTGTAAACGTCCTCTCGCAGTGGGCTATATATGTCTTCCCTTTTACAACTCAAAACATTCCTCAATGTCGAATTGGTTCTGAAGTATTTGGCAGTTCGTGTTCCCTATTCTCTTGTATTTCTACTCGCCATTTTCAACTATTATTTTCTCCAACTCGTTCAAGCAACCTTTTCATTCTCTCAATTCATGGGCGTGCAAGCTTTGATCATAGGTAGAAAGGCTCTGGTCATAGGTATGAACAGAAAAAGGTAAGAACATAGAAGGTTACCTAGGGTGCTGAAATTACACTGAATGAAACAAAAAGTTTTGAGATGTTGAAAACTACTCAAATTACCTGAAGTTCGCATAATGCGCACTGACATGCCGGTTCTGGAACATTAACCCATTGACGACGACGCCTAATTTTGCGCGGCGGCGCTGTGGGACGACGCGATTTTGCACATCACTTTCAGTGTGGGAAGATTTCGTGCTTATTTACGAAATGCAACATTGTTTTGTAAACAACTATTAACATTTTCTTGAACGACAGAGCCTACAGGTCCTAAGGATAGAAAAAATTGGAAAAAATATTCATGTGTGGAAAAAATACTAGACCCGCAAATAATACGAATTTGCGATAAGTGTGGGCCACCGGGGGTCCACATCGTCCCTGGCAGCAAAAAGCGCGTAGGCCACCGGTGGTCCACATCGTCGTCAATGGGTTAAGCAGGCTAAAGTTGCATTCGCAGACTGTGTAAACAAATGCGTCAATCCGGCTTCAGGGGAACGTTTGAATGTAGAAAGGATGAGTCAAAGCCAAGCTCTCAAACTCTTCACCCAAACGAGAGGAATGCACTTTCTGCTTTGTAAGCTCCTCAAGCCGGTTGACTTTGAGTTTTGAAAGGTTGTTTAGCTCGACTTTTGGTAGCTTCCGCTAGAATTGGTATTATCACAAGAGTCGAGTCAAAATGGTGCTTACGCTTTTGTTCTCCTTTTCAGCAGTCACGTTACTGAGATTTCTTTTAAACTTGCTCATATTAATTTTTTGATATTTGGCTCATCGTTTTTGGCTTCTTACTTTAGAGTTAATCTACTTTATTTATTATATAGAAATAAATCAAACCTTTCTGAGTGCAAATCCTCTTCTAGTTTACTTTAGTCTTTCGGGGCTTCTTAGAATTCATCATCAACTACGAAGAATTAAGTCTTGCATTAGAAAGTCCAAGCAACGTTCAGGCAAAACCTAACCCTCTCCGATTAGCACCTATTTTCTGGCTGCGTTGGTCCGCTCCTTCAGTGTTGTTTCTGAATGGAGATAATGGACCCGGAGCTGCGAAGTGCGCTCAAGCCACGCCTTAATCCTATCACGCTCCGCCTCTCCAGGTATTGGAAGCCGTCTGGGTCTTCGGATATCTCCCAGCAGTGGCGTACCGAGGAGGGGGGGCGCCCCCCCCCCCCGAGAATGGGTCGCGAAATTTTTGAACGTTACTTATATGGGTTATAAAAATGTGCAAGTGACTCGCAAAAATTTTGAGAAGCACCCCAAAAATTTTTTCGGAGTGCGTGGCTAACGCCACGCACCTTCATTAAAAAAAATTCTTGTCGCCCCCCCCCCCCCCGAGCCGAAATCCTGGGTACGCCGCTGGCTCTCAGAAATCGGATTTGTTGGCTAGAGAGATCCAGGTAGCACAAAAGTGAAGTTAGAGGCTGATAGACCTTCCAGCATTACTGTCATTCAAATCAAAAAAAAATTTGAAAGTTTGTATTTACAATTTTATCGCCGCTACATAGTAACAACAGTTTCTATAGTAGAAATTGCATGATTTGCGCTTCTATCTTATATTATTCGAATAGATTTACTAATTTGAAAAACCTGACGAATTTTTCAAAAATTTTGATGTAAGACATGCTTTTGATCAAGCGTTTACCGCTTCAAAATATCGTGCTTTGAAATTTCTGGGTAGATACCTTGGGTAAAGAACTTCTTCGATTGAAAGATTTAAATTTTGGCAAGATTCGGCTGAAACGGTGCCGCTGAGAATAAAAGAAAGAATGCTTTAAAGGCAGTGTCCGGGCAAAAAGTCGATTTTGAGATTTCTTGCTTACCCGATCCTATTCGCTATGCTGAATCCGAAAATCCAAATTGGAAAGCGCGGAAACGGCGAAAAACGGCCAGGAGGGAAATCATAAGTGGGCGGGGTCTTCCCCACTCTGAATTTCGCGGTTCCGGCTTTTGAAGCGACTTTTTCAATTCCGCTAGCACCCTGAGATCTCCACAGGCCAGGTGCAAATGCATGACTTGAAATCGTGACCGAGAAGATCGCTCCGGGAACTTGGAGCGTGAATTCGCAGTGGGGAAGACCCCGCCCACTTCTGATTTCCCTTCTGCGTTAGAGTTCTTTTCCGCCGTTTTCGCGCTTTCTAATGTGGATTTTCGGATTCAGCATAGTGAATAGGACCGGGTAAGCACAAAATCTCAAAATCGACTTTTTGCCCGGACGCCTTTAATTTTTCGGTTACCGGTCTGTTATTGATGTTCGTAATTGGAGAAGTTCCAGAAAGGAAAACGTTCTCATTACTTTGATTTACCCCACATAAGCGGCTACTTTGATATTCTTTTTTTTGGGGGGGGGGGGGTAAAGGAAGTTGTGCAGGAAGTGAAATGTAGATTCTTTTGTTTTAATGCCGTTCGTAAACAAAGAATGAAACAGCTCACTAAAAGTGAAACGCTAAGTGCAGATATTATGGCCTTGTAAGTCGGTACCATCCGGTCAGCTTTTTGGGCATTGAGAGAAGCTATAAAGCATATTACTCACTCCAGCGTCTGAACATTTCTTTTTTTTAAAGCTTGCTGGATGATTCTGCAGCGTTGTATCATTACATTCCATGTTATATATCTTGAAAGAAGTCAAGTACATCTGGACTTTACAACTTTGCTTTTCCCGCCCCCACACCCAGAGCCATATCAAAAGATTGGAGAAGAACATGTACTTTGTTGTAATTTGCTTCCTTTCCAACACAAGAGCCTATATCAATACGTACCCTATCTTGGTTTCTTGTTTGATTTACAACCGCTTACCTCATTGCTTGTTATTCATCATCTATATTGACCTTTCAATTTCATAAGCAACTGCGCTATTTGCTTAACCTTTCTGTTTTTGGCCCATTATCCATAAGCCCCATTTTACGGGATATTTATGTCCGGTTTGTGCTATGTGCAAACAGACCTGACCAAGACAAACTTCTTTCGCATTGAACTTTTTCCCCCTTTTAGAAAAAAAGTAGCCGAGCTTTCCACGTTTTCGCTTTTAATAGCTTTCGGCACAGAGACTGTCTCACATAAAAGCAAAACTGCTGGAACCATGAAGAGTGTAGTACTCGAGCATGCTTTACACTAAAAATGCACTTCAAAAAAAAACACACGCTACAAGTTTTTCGTCTTCGTAATCCTTCACCGAAACCAGCTGGTTCCCCTTTCTTCTTGGGTTCTTCGAGAGTGAGGCAAACAGGTCCGTCAACATTTGCTCCAGGTTGCACTAGTTTTCTGTCCACGGGTGGTGGTTCTCTCACATTTGGGGAATTTTTAGTGAAAGTTCCAACGTTTCCCTTTAGTTTTATCAAGCTGCATCAATGTTCTAGACGAACTATCGCGGCTTTCAGAATTGTCCGTGCCAGCCTCGTGCCAGAACGTTGCGGCACGGCGCTGGAACGACCCCGACACAGCGTCGACACACGGGCAACATTGAACGCTGCCTAAGGCCCGTATGCACGTACATCCCCGCGGGGAGGGGAGGGGATCTGAAAGGGGAAGCGTCATATCTCGCTAGTCTATGTATCTTTCTTCTTCTTTCTCTGTCTTGGTTTTGAAGGTTCTCATACACTGATACTTGCGCATAACGGATGCCAGGTTTCTGCCATACAAGATTAGATATTCACTATTTCGTCTGATCCCCTGGGGATCCCCAGGGGATTATCTCACATTTTCGAAGTCATTTATCTTCCTGAAAAATCAATGAAAACACAGCAAAATTGTAGCGAAGATATATTACGATACTGCTGAGCATGTTTCCGACAGAAGAAATGGAATCTGAAGATTTTGATTTTTTTCGATAATCCCTGGCTCGCGAGCAGCGGTTCATCGAAGATTTTGACATCTTGAGATTTCACTCATTTCTACCATAAGCATGTTTAGCAGTGCTGTAGTATATCCACAGTAGAATTTTGCAACGTTTTCATTGATCTTTCAGAAAGATAAATGACTTTGAAAATATGAGATAATCCCCTGGGGATCCCCAGGGGATCAGACGAAATAGTGAATATCTAATCTTGTATGGCAGTAACCTGGCATCCGTTATGCGCAAGTATCAGTGTATGAGAACCTTCAAAACCAAGACAGAGAAAGAAGAAGAAAGTACATAGACTAGCGAGATATGATGCTTCCCCTCTCAGATCCCCTCCCCTCCCCGCGGGGATGTACGTGCATACGGGCCTAAGTTTGCCGAGCAACAAAAGTGCCATTCTCACGTATGTCCCTTTCTTTCTTTCTTTCTTTCTTCCTTCTCTCTCTCTCATGTACAGCTGTTTCTTTTAATCTGTTTCTATTTGTCTAAGGGAGATGCTTTATTAAATGAGCTCTCAACAGCTGACTATTGCTGCAAGAAGTCAAAACTTTGCCGACACTTCAATGTATCAATGAGCTCATCTAGTGCACGAACTCTCAACCGAATTTCTTTTGCCAAAGAATAGGAAGTATCATAGTCAGCTGCTGTTCGTGTAATTAATGTTTATGAAAAGTAATGTCTCTCTACGTCTGGTAAAACTCACTGCAATAAAGCTGTTTTTATCTCATGGGCATAGATCCAACAAAAATTCAAGTGCTTTTAGGATGAGAATCTTGTCTTCCTTATAAGTCTGATCATTTTGAAAAGGAAATTTTGAGGAATACATCTTTGGTTCTTTTGTGGAAAGTGCTTGACAAACAGAACCACATGTTTTTTCCATCTTAAAGCTTTTGAGATGTCGAGCAAGCCATCTAAAGAGCGAAAGCAAACGCTTCGGTGTTTTTAAACTCTCCACTTATGAAAGCAGCAGTGGTTGCCTTGAAAATTATTTTAGGATGCTGCGAGGGATAGGGGGAGGGGGTCGACAATTTTTTGAGGCTAGAAAGGCATGGCGCTAGATCTCTCCGCAAACTTTTTGGGATGCTTTGTGAGTTCTGAGTAAGTTATCGACTATGAACTTCAAGAGAAAGAGGGGATCACATGATATAGATCTTCATCGAATTCATATGATCATTTTAATCGCTAATAAAAGTATTTTGCTTGTATTAATTCAAAGAACAAGAATTTGGAACAAGTTTTTGGGTTTATGTCTAGAAAATTTACCTCATTAAGTATAGTAATAAGACTGTGCTTTGGAAACGTTTATTTTTATATCATATTTTGCAACAAAGAAAATTTCTTCCGCATACTATCACATCATCGAACAATCACCACTTTGTTGACATGGTCGCACTGTGACAGGTGCCATTCCAGGCACTGAAAGAGACGAAAAAAAAACTTCTTGAACTTTTGCAATCAACCAATGAGACAGGTGAATGACATCTTCAACAATAGACGTAATGAATTGTGGCAGCCGATTGCGTCTTAGGTTATGCTTGTTCATCTGAACCGATCATCGCTTCGCCAGACATTTCTTTCCCTTTCAAAAGAAATCTCTTTCTCCGATGGTGCGAACAGCATCTCGAACTTTGCGAACTATTAAAAAGTGATGTCGTCCATTAGTGAGTGCTATTTACGACCATCGAGAACTGCAAAATGTCAAAATTATTTCGTCTAGACCGTGATCGATAGGTTCATTTGCAATCAACTGATCAAACAACATAACACCACGCATATCGCACTGAAACTATTATTTTTGTCATTATTTCATTTCGTCTATTCAAGGTGGTCTATATTTCATTATTCGAAGGGTCTAAGGGGATTGCTCAGTTACTTTCATTGTGAAAGTCGCATATTTTTTTAGTATTCATTGTGAACGCAACTTGAAAAATAAGACTTTTTATTACTGATTCGGATGTTGTAATTCTTAAAAAAACGGAGAAATTAACGATGGTGCGAGTCTGAAAAATTTGTTATGTTGCACGGTTATAACAGGAAACTTTCACGATCCGACTACAATAAGATCACAAACGCCCAAGTTGAAAAATTATACCGCAAAATTCACTTAGTTCCATGGAATAATCGTTATGGCTTTGTACGCGAAGCGGCTGCGCGCGTTCAAATGTGCCTTTGAGGCACATCGATAACCGCCATTGCGGATGCTGTGCGAAAAGCGACAAATTCGAAGAAGCCTCAAAGCAGAACACCCCCCCCCCCCCTCCAGCGTTTTCCGGGCAAAATTAGGAGGATCAGTGGCGAATTAACAATAAGACAAAAGTCTTCCTCCAAAAATCGCGCCGCCTCTTTTTTCAATTTTGCAAATTTGTTTTTTTTTGGTTTATGAATAGAATTAAACTAGTAAATTATCTAGAATTTCGTCTTTGAACAAATTCTTTTTATGTCCATTGTGACTTTATCAGCTTGCTGAATTGAAAAGTGAGCCAAAAATTTTGTTGGAAAAAGACAAAACGCCATGAGAAAGTGGGTTAGGCACTACGGGTATGGTTGAAATAATGTGCAGAATAGAGATTTCTCAAATTGTTTGAATTGTGCACATCATCGTTTCCGTCCCTTCCTCATTCACGCGCAATCGCGGTAAATTTGTCTGTTCAGCACGACTCAGAGGCATCCGCTCCTCCAACTTAGCCAATGACAGTTATCTCTGCTAAGGATGTACGTGCATCCTTCCTCGTTATTCTCACTTTCGCTCTCTTCTCTTCCCTCTAGACTTGGTTTTTGCCTGGTGACTTCAATTAAATTATCGCCCATCGGAGAAGCAAGCCTGACGCAGTGATCTCTTGTGTAATAGAAGAAAAATATAGACTAGCCAGCATTTCAGAAAGTGTGCTCATTTGCTAGTTGTGATAGTAATTTCACTAGTTTTTGTAACTCAGACTTTTAATTGGCAGCTAAACCGGTTTTTGAACTAAAATCATGTCACATTTGGTCTGGTGAGCCTCATATGCACGTGCTATTTAGGGTTTTAGGACTTTTGGTTAGTGCATGCGAAGGTGGGCGAAGTCAGCTGGCTCACATCAGCTGTCGGCAATTTTCATTACCTCTCAACAGACGTCAACAAATCAAAAATCACTTGTGGTTTTCCTTGTTTCCTGACTTTTAGCACGATTTTCTAGACCATGGCCTTGCTTACATTTCATTTGACTCAACTTTATAGGCACTCCGGGCAAGTCAGGGTAACTTGGTTTTTCTGTGTAGTTACTAATGAGCCCTTAGGTGAGACATAATCTATACGGCAGCCCATATGCTTGTGGCCGAGAAAATCAATACAAAACTCCTGCCCGGACCGTTTTTTGGACGGATCAATCCCTCCTCGGGTACGGTAGAAAGTATGGTCTGGGTTGCGATTTGGATTTGCTCTTCTCGATCAAAAAATAAGTCATGTGACCTGCGTCTCGAGCATCGGTTTTGTTAAGGCCTCTCTGTGAGTTTCAAACAAAATTTTTTTTCAAAATTTGCCTGAACAGTGTCTTTGTTCTAACTCTGCCAACATGCATCAAGTTTGGTTTACTATCCCTCTAATCTTATTCCCTCCCCTCCCCCTCTCCCCCTTCTTTCCCCTTCCCCCTATTCTGTACGAAAATATCGACTGATTGGAATTCTGCCCAGCGAGCCGAATAATAATGACACATCCGGTTATTAGTGGCACTCAATGATACACGCTCATCGATAGATATGCACTTGTCGGAGAGTGTCAGCACTGGTCACGGTTGTGACTACAACTATAGTTTTTTTGCTCAACCTGTGGAGTTCATAGATTCCTAAATGGCAATCCCCTCTCAATAGAAACCTAATAAAAAATTTTTACATCAAGTATCTTGCTGGCTTTTCTTCTTTTTTCTCTCGTCGTTTCGTTCTTCCAAAAATGCGAAATTTTTTCGAAACTTTCAGTTTATTTTATTCTGTCATTTCCTTTTTTTATGAGTTCTGCTGTTGTACCCCAAGTGTTCCAGTCAATATAACTGCAATGTTACATAGTCTATTAATATTGATGCTCGATATAGCGTCCCTGCTGTGGCTACAACTTCGCGCGCACACGACATGTTTGTAGTGTCGACAACATTTGCGCGTCAAAAATGGCATAAAAGTGCATATATTCTGCGTTTGAGGCTACACGCGCAAGTATTGTCGACTCTAGGCGCTTTATATTCTTAAAATACACAAATAATATAGACACCATCACACGTAATTTTGGTGTCACCGACGACACCTGCGCGTAAAATGACAGTGTGCGCTCTGTAGCCATCTTCTTACGACCCAGTCACAAGCAAATTGACGGCATTCGCAAGATGGCATTTTTGCGCAAAAGTACCAGTCACCGCTCAAGCACAATCTGCGCCGTCTGATGCACAAGACTGTGCAGTTATCGGGAAAGAAGTTTACCAAACTCCCCTTCTGTAGAGGGGGGGGGCTTGCCTTTATAAGCGGGCACCCAATCGGGCGCCATTACCTGTTTGGGCTCTCGCTTATAACAGTAAAACAGCGCTCGATTAGAGATCACGGACTAATAAATACGAGTGATGTGCCGAGACCCCCCTCCCCCCAAGAATGGATCGCGAAATTTTTCAAAAATTCTCATATGTATCATAGAAACGTGCAAGTGACTTGTTTATACTTCTAAATATTAGGTTGTCAAGAAAATAATGTCCGTTTTTATTTGCTTGCTTTAACAAAGCAATCAGACTCAACCCAACAAAGGGTAAGGGGTACTGTTCGATAGAGCAAAGCAAGCTCTACAAGATGGCACTCATGCCTTTGCGCCATGCTCGATCCACGGAGAGTTCGAACTCAAAATCTAAAGATTTCCAAATGCCCAAAAAATCGAAAAAAATCAGATCTTCGTCCAAATAATTTCTACGAACCTCCCACTCGCTCACATCAATACTATCGATATCTGATATCCATATGTGCGATTGCCGTATTTTTTCCTTGACTAGAAACTGAGAAAACGAAAATTTCCCTGATTTTCTCAAAGCAATGCTGAGCCGTTTTTGCATATGTAGTTCTATACTACAAGCCTAGGTAAGTATAACTGTAGATTTTCAGCCCATTGCACGCGGTAGTTTTCGAAAAATAACGAATTCGGATTTTTTCGTTTCAGTTTCAGTGCTAAAATCGACATTTCGCGAAAAGTACCGCTCGAAATAGGCTGAGAACCTACAGTTATGCTTACCTAGGCTTGTAGTATAGAACTACATATGCAAAAACGGCTCAGCATTGCTTTGAGAAAATCAGGGAAATTTTCGTTTTCTCAGTTTCTAGTCAAGGAAAAAATACGGCAATCGCACATATGGATATCAGATATCGATAGTATTGATGTGAGCGAGTGGGAGGTTCGTAGAAATTATTTGGACGAAGATCCGATTTTTTTCTATTTTTTGGACATTTGGAAATCTTCAGATTTTGAGTTCGAACTCTCCGTGGATCGAGCATGGCGCAAAGACATGAGTGCCATCTTGTAGAGCTTGCTTTGCTCTATCGAACAGTACCCCTTATCCTTTGTTGGGCTGAGTCTGGTTGCTTTGTTAAAGCAAGCAAATTAAAACGGACATTATTTTCTTGACAACCTAATAATATTAGGTTGTCAAGAAAATAATGTCGTTTTTTATTTGCTTGCTTCAAAGCAACCAGAGTCAACCGTACAAAGGATAAGGGTATTGTTTGCTAGAGCAAAGCTAGCTCTACAAGATGGCGCTCATGATTTTGCGCCAAGATCGATCCACGAAAAGTTTGAACTTAAAACCTAAGGTCTTCCAAATGCTCAAAAAATCGAAAAAAAAAATCAGATCATGTCCAAATAATTTATAGGGACCTCCCACCACTTTCAATATCAGACACCCATATGTGCAGTTGTTGTATTTCTTCCTTGTCTAGAAACTGAGAAAACGAAAATTTTAATGATTTTCTCAAAACGCTGAGCCCTTCTCGCATATGTAGTTCTATACTACAAGCCTAAGTAAGTACAACTGTGATTTTTCAGCCCATTCCGAGCGGTAATTTTCAAGAAATGTTGAATTCAGCTTTCTTCTTTTCAGTTTCAGTGCTGAAATCGATATTTTTCGAAAACTACCGCCCGGAATAGGCTGAAAATCTACAGTTACGCTTAACTAAGTTTGTAGTATAAAATTACATATGCAAGAACGGCTCAGCACTGCTTTGAGAATATCATGAAAATTTTCGTTTTCTCAGTTTCTAGTCAAGGAAAAACTACAACAACTGCACATATGGGTTCTACATAATATTGAAAGTGTGACGTTTGTGAGTGGGAAGTCCCTATAAATTATTTGAACAAGATCTGATTTTTTTTGATGTTTTGAGCATTTGGAAGTTTTTAGATTTTGAGTTCAAACTTTTCGTGGATCGATCTTGGCGCAAAATCATGAGCGCCATCTTGTAGAGCTAGCTTTGCTCTATCGAACAATTACCCCTTATCCTTTGTACGGTTGATTCTGGTTGCTTTGTTGAAGCAAGCAAATAAAAAAAAACGACGTTATTTTCTTGACATCTAATAAAAGTAATTTTCAGCAATTTTTAGAAACCAAATTACGCTTTCGTTGGGGTTATTGGTCTGCAAAACTTCTAAGAAGCCCAAATAAGTTTTCGGAGTGCATGGCTAACGTTACGCAGCTTCGACCAAAAAAATTTCCCTCTCCCCTCCTCTTTTGCGAGGCGAGTGGGAATCCTGATGCGCCACTGATAGATATCGATCCAGAATTAAACTGTTCATCTCGCTCTTTCTAGCAAGTGACTTGATTTTTGAGGAGCCATATCAATTTAATACCCTCCGTGTACTTCGCTCTTGCCACTAATAATTAAGGCAAACAATACGACTGAACAAAACGTTTGTTTGGACTAACATAACCGATTGATTGATTTATTAGTCCAACATTGCAGTCGACATTTCTTCCATTTGCGCAGCTTCTTCGGAAAGAAATGTCGTTTGCTGTGTTGGCAGCTTTTTTCACTTCACATCGGTGCCAATGTGTAGTTCGCAAAGCTCCAACGTGGCACTGCTCTCGTTGCTTTAGACACTATTTTATGCTCTTTGCTCTCGTCAATACAGCATTTTTCTCTTGCTATTCTTAGAGTCATGAACATAAGGGATCTATGATTCCATGGATAATTGTTCTTTTCCAGCTGAATGCGGTTATAAAATTTATATTAAGTTGTCCCGAAAGTTTTGTCGGTTTTTTCAAACCACTGTAAAACCACGCACAATGAAGACTTGAATGAGTTTCAACATGCATTCGATGCAGCTTTTCCAATTCTTTCTCAAGGATACACTTTCGAACCACAATTTTCTCTGCTTTTCTTGATAAATGCCAAGACTTTCTACCCGTCAATTTTTTCTGCTCAAAGTTAGTCTAATTTTTGAAAAATTTTGTTCTAAAGTTTCAGAAAGAGTTAAATATGAGTCGAGTAGAGCAGTTCTCGGAGTACAAGGTGATATTTCTAGATTCTCCTGATCTGCTGTTCTTAGCTTCAGAGAATTATTTCTTCGGAAGTCTCGCTTTTTGGCTAAGTCATGAAACACGCATCTGCAGCAAATACACGAAAGCTTTTGAAGTTCCTGCGAATTGCAACATGATTCTTAGTAAACATTATTTATGCAACATAACCAAGTTTGATTTGTTTTGAAAAAGGAGCTTTCTTGAATTTTCGGTAATCTTACGTGGTAAAGTAATCAAAAAGCCGCGGTTTTTATCAAATAAATAAAATAATACAACAGACTTGGTAGACGGGACCTATGTAATTTAAAATGGGTACAATGTAGCCAAAGGTTTGCTCTATATAACAATTACCATTACGCTCTTTGAAAAGATCAGGATAAAGACTATTTAAATTTAAAAAAGGTTTGACTTTACCGCTGGACTGCTTAAAAATTCATGGCGATAGAATTGCAAAGACAGGGTAAATCAGAGGACAAATGTAGCTGTAAGAAAGAGGATGAAAATTATTATTCAACTGGTACCTAATTCTCCATGGATTATTGTTCTGAGAGTTTTAGTGAGCGACGAAAAAAACGGACAAAACTTTCGGGACAGTCTAATAATATAAAAGAACACCCTTTCTGGCTCGATAATAGCTGAAATTTTAGGGAAATTAGAATACAAACCGAAATAATTGGAAGAAAAATTTGTGTTTGAAAAACAGTGGCTATGCCTATAGTTAGTATCTATCTATCATATAAAGAATCGTAGTGCCAATTCAAAAAACATAGATAGCGGGAAATCGGTCCCGAAACGCGCGAATACGGTCTAACACCTTCAATTACTGGTTTACTAGCCTATGATTTGTTTGCTTCCTTTTACATTTATTAATGGCCATATATATCCAAATGCGGGTCTATGGCTACATTTTTATTACAGATTTTCATCAATCTTCATCATAAAAACTTGTAGCGAATCTACAATATTATTGTTT